CAACTGATGTTGAGCAAAATCCCTAATGAGTTTTGATGAATGACAAAACAATCTATTACTGACCAAAATTACACTTAAGTTATTTGATGCAGGTAAATGCTGAGTTATCAGACTTAGTCGATGAAAGGACTTTGTCATTAGACTCAAAATTACTCGTCAGATTTAATGAGTGTTATTTTTGGCATGTTTATGCAGGATAATCAAATTGATATTTTAAGATATTCTAATTGGTAATCACAAGATCGTTCCTCAAATATGAAGAACTATACTTATGGAAACCTTAATTTGATTGTATGGGCGATCAAATCACTCGGAGATAATGGTTTTTCTTCTAACGGCTATGCATCCTATTTTGGGAAGAATCTCCAACAAATTGATTTGGAGATCAATACTCTGAAAACTGTCCAACGGATAGATTGGAAGTAGAGGAGTATAAAAGCAGTGCAAACGTCGTACAAGAAACAAGAACCAGAATCGAGAATTCCAAAGTTTGAATAGAGCTTTGATCTTACACACTTGTGATTACTGTTTTCCACGTTGTGTTTTTTAGAAAGAAAATTACTTGTGTAAAAAGTGTACGTGAGAGTGTTATCTATCATCTGGGAAGCACAGCTCTTGTAATCTTTTGGTGATTCAATAGTGAAATACAGCCAACGGGCTGCTAGCGTGGAGAGTGGACGTAGGCTCAATAAAGCCGAACCACTATAAAGATCTGTGTGCAGTATTCTCTATCCCTAAACTTTTATTTATTATTGCTGATATTATACTGTACACATATCTGTCAAACAAGTTCATCAGAACATCATCTTAATCATCAGACGTAATCATTTGACAACAATTTATTTATAAGTTTGTTATACGAATCCATCTGATATTGATCATATGAGTTGTTGACCTAGACTATATTCATTCCGCACGTTTAAATCATACAATTTTGGTAAAATCACCTATTCACCCCCCTCTAGGTGATAACACTAGCCGTATCAATTGGTATCAGAGCCTAGTGCTCATTCTTTCTTGAAGTGTTATTTTACTTCTGAGCTAACGATTCTTGATGGCTAGTAATGCTGAGTCAGGTCACAACAACAGACCGCCTTACTTCAATGGAACTGAATACAGTGTCTGGTGAAGACATTCATCTTGGGAATAGACCAAGACATATGGGATATCGTTGAACATGGAATCATTTCAAATGAAACAAAATCCCCAGAAACTTCAAAAAGGCAAAATGAGACACCTTCTTCTGAAGGAGTTAGAGAGCAAATTAAACCTCAAGTTTTACCTCTCTCGGCCAAGGAAATTTCCAGAAGAATCCATCTGGATGCAAAGATCAGAACGACCATATACAATGGTCTAGCAAGTGTTGAATACAAACGAATTGCAAATCTTAAAACTGCCAAAGAAATTTGGGATCGTCTCAAGCTTGTCCATGAAGGAACAGAAAGAGTCAAGGAGACAAATCTCAATATTCTCCTTGGACAGTACGAATCCGTCACTCAGAAATCAAATGAAACAATCTCTGAGATGCTTAGTAGATTCACTGAGATAGTAAATGGGCTTGATTTCCAAAACAATCCCATTCCATAACCTATGAAGGTGAACAAGCTGCTGAGAGCTCTTTCAAAAAAATGGAACAACATTAAAGTCTCTATTCGAGAAACTCAGCGAATCAGACCATTCACGATGGATGAACTTATCGGAACTCTTCAATCCTATGAAACTGAAAAGTTCTTAGAAATTGAAGAACCCAAAGGTAAAAAGTCCATTGCTTTAAAAACTAACATTGATTCTGATGACACAGATATAGATTCGGATGAAGATGAAGATGAAGATGAAGAGTTGGCTTTAATGGTCAAGAAACTGAGAAAGATGGCAAAAAAGGTGAAGATGAATAAGTCAAAGAAGCAATTCAAGAATTCTGAGCCATCAAAAGCCAAGAAGCTAAATTTTCAGAAGAGATCCAGTGCCGAAAACGAAGAAAACAAAGATGTGATATGTTTCCACTGCAAAAAGAACGGACACATAAAGCCTAAATGTCCCCTTCTCAAGAAGAACAAAGGAAAATATGAAAAATATAAGAAGGCTTTCAAAGCTGAAACATAGAGTGATTCAGATGATGAAGAAAGCGAACAAGAGTTTGCCAATATTTGTCTGATGGCAAAATCAGATTCAGAATCAAGTTCTGATGAAGAAGATGAGGTAAGTAATTCAAATATTCCTGAAGTAGTTGCAAATTATATTGATGAATTAGTCTCTGTTAACAAAACTGCTTTCAAAAATATTTCTATATTGAAGAAAGAAATTTTGTCTTTAAAAAATATGACTCAAAACAAGGAAATTGATGAATCAATCGAATGTTTAAAAAAGGAAAACAATCTTTTAAAACAGCAAGATATTTCGCAAAAGGATAAGATTGATTTCTTGCAAAAAGAATTTAATCTTATCAAGAAAAATAAAGATTTTCTTGAAAAGGAAAATGATTCACTGAAAAAGGAAATTTCTAATCTGAAAAAAATTTCTAAGGAAAGTTTTGATCGCATCTCTAATGAAAAAGAACTTTTGAAAAATGACATGTCTAATATAACTAAGAAATTCTCAATGGGTTCTAAAAATCTTCATCATATTTTGTCGATTGAAATTCCTTATTATAATAAATCAGGTCTAGGTTTTAATAAAAAAAAATGAATTAAAAAATACTTTTTCGAATGTCAAAGAAAGACTAAAGAAAAGACCCTCTAAATTTGATTACAGAAATCATTTTCAAAAACAGTTTGTGAAATTCAATGGTCAAACTTCACAAAGATGCTCTTTACCAAAAAAAAAAAAAACTTCACAAAGATGCATAAACTGCGGTGATTCAAATCACTTTAAGAGTGACTATCCAAAGGTTTGGAGACCTATTCAGAGAGATATCCTGAGAATGACCGATCCTAACCAAAATGGACCCAAGAAAATATGGGTACCAAAGAAAAAGTGAGTTACTTATCTTTTGCAGGTAGCAAAGAAAAGAAAGAACAAGTGGTACCTTGACAGTGGTTGTTTAAGACACATGACCAGAGATCCTCTAAAATTCATTAAGTTAGAAAGAATTAAAGGAGGAAGTGTATCCTTTGGAGGCAACAACAAAGGAAAAATAATTGGCAAAGGAATTGTCAGAATCGACAATCTCATCATCAATGAAGTCTCACTTGTTTAAGGTTTGAATTTCAATTTAATTAGCATTAGTCAATTATGTGATATTGGTTACAGAATTACTTTCCAAGAAAACAAATGCTCTGGGATAAGTAAGGATAACAAGCAAGCATTTACGTGTAACGACCCGGTCCGACGAGGGCGGGGAGTGGTCGCCGGGGTCAGAGGGCCTGGACAAGGAGCAGCTCCTGGCAGGCTTCTAGGATAGCAAGGGGGGCATGTCTCTTGTCCCACATCACTTAGGGGGGGAGTCCTGGGCTAGTTTATAAGGCTTGGGTTCTCTACTCTGTGTAACGCATTTTAAAGCCGTGAGGGTCAGTGGGCCCAAAGCGGACAATATTACACAGTATAGACCCCGGGTCCTTACAAATGGTATCAGAGCCGACTCCCGACCGCGTGTGGGGCCACAGCGAGGACGCTGTGCTCGAAGGAGGGGAGAATGTAACGATCCGGTCCGACGAGGGCGGGGAGTGGTCGTCAGGATCAGAGGGCCTGGACAAGGAGCAGCTCCTGGCAGGCTTCTAGGATGGCAAGGGGGGCATGTCTCTTGTCCCACATCGCATAGGGGGGAGTCCTAGGCTAGTTTATAAGGCTTGGGTTCTCTACTCTGTGTAACGCGTTTTAAAGCCGTGAGAGTCAGTGGGCCCAAAGCGGACAATATTACACAGTAAAGACCTCGGGTCCTTACATTACGGGTCGAAGACATGGAAACATCTACCTTACTAGACACAAAGTCTGATGACTTGCAATGTCTCGTTTCCATAAAAGAAGAATCTGATCAGTGGCACAGGAAGCTCGGACACGTAAGTGTCAAATTAATTTCCAAAATAGCTTCCAAGAAACTTGTCAAAGGATTGCCAGAACGAAATTTTAAAAGCACAGAATTATGTTCAGCTTGCTCCAAAGGTAAGCAGGTAAGAAGTTCATTCAAATCAATAAATTATGTAAGCACTAACCGAGCCTTGCAGTTGCTTCATATGGACATTTTTGGACCTACTCAAACTCTAAATCTTGGAGGTAAGAAATACTGTTTAGTTATTGTAGACGATTATTCAAGATATACTTGGGTATTCTTTTTGGCTCATAAAAGTGAAACATTTGAATATTTCTCAAAATTTTCCAAAAAGGTACGGAATGAAAAAGGGAGAAGAACACTAGAAGTGCCAAAACTTGTGTACAGCGCTCACTTTAGTGCCAAAAGTTTGTTTCGGATCACTTAAGTGCCAACGGCGAGAAATTCCGGCCAAATTAATACGTGGCTTTTTTAATTAAAATTTTAATCTACGTGGCATTTGCACGTGTATATTTCGAATTTCTCAGTCCTATGTGGCATTTCCACGTGTAAATTTCGAATTTTTAATTATTTTTTTGATTTTTTTTTTTTTTTCTTCTTTTCTTTTTTTCTTTTTTTTCTTCTTCTTCTTCATTTGGCCGGTGACCGGACACCGGCCACCGGCCATGGCCGGCTGCTTGGCCTCACCGGGGGTTGCCCGAGGGAAGGCGACCCCCAGCGAGGCCGCCGTGGCCTGGGCAAGGGCCAGCCCTCGCCAGATCCGGCGGGGCCGGCCCTAGCTCAGGCCACGGCGGCCTCGCCGGGGGTCGCCTTCCCCCGAGCTAACCTTGCTCTGATACCAATTCAAACGGGGATGTCACGCCCCGAACCCTCGTCGAGCCCGCGACATCCCGCCTCCGGTCGAACAGAGTGCGACGTCCCAGGAATAACGTCGCCGACCCAACGATCCATCAGAGTTAACTCGCGGCGGAAGCAATAAAAAATCCCGGACATTAAAATTGGAGAACACCAGGAAGGAACAAATCGTCAAACCACCAAGCATATATTACACTTCCAAATATTTACATCATCCGCCAATACAAACCACAAAATAATTTATAAGCACACCGAACTATAAACTCCAAACCACCAAAATATCAAGATCAGCTCTCTAGGTCAGCACTATCCAAAAATGGGGCGCATCCTCCTCCCAGAACTATCCCCTACGCCCTCTTGAAGGCGTCCACTCTGACTCACTGTCTTCGGCATCACCACCTGAATCCTCCGCAGCTGTCTGCTCACCCGACGACTCCGAGTCGACCTCAATCTCGACATTCAGGCGAGGGCTCTGAAATGGTTTGGTTGAAACAACCATGAGATCACATCTCAATAAGTCACAACCTAAGCCCCACCTAGGCTATCACGTAATTCCAGACACATCCAAACGCGCAACCAAACAACCACACAACCAGCAATCAAACATTCACACATACCTGGACTCTCTGCATACGCACCATGCACGTTAGCCCACAATCCCAACATACAATTCTTGCACACATGCCATCACACACTTTCCACATATCAATACACACGCCAATCATACCACAGCAGTACATCACAGCCGCGCGCGTGCCTCGATTATAAAGCAAAACCTACTTGGGCACGTCCCATACCATGCCTAGCAGATTTTACCCCATAATCGCGCACTGCATCACGCGATACAAATACACTCGCACACTAACTCACACCATGCATCACTTTCACAATCCTCGCATGTCAAGCCAAATCCCGCTCATTCTCAACCTTTCCACCACTACCGCGCCCGCGTAAAACGCATCAGGCCAACGGTCTTCTGACCTCGTCAGGCATCGACACCCCGTCGGGCCGGGCATCGTCACCTCGTCAGGGACGGCATCGTCCCGCATAAACGAACACGCCTCAGGACGGAATCCTACACACACTTTCCTTCTACCGCGCCCGCGTAAAACGCATCAGGCCAACGGTCTTCTGACCACGTCAGGCATCGTCACCCCGTCGGGCCGGGCATCGTCACCTCGTCAGGGACGGCATCGTCCCGCGTAAACGTACACGCCTCAGGACGGACCTCACCCCGCGTAAACGTACACGCCTCAGGGTCTCACTTTTCAAACCAATCCTACATTCCAGTACCTTCGTTCCGCTCAAACCACATTTGTCACACGGCCACACCTACACACTGCCAAACACGCACACCTCACACACATTTCACAATTTCACATTCTCGTCACACGAACACGCCACCCAATCATACATTCTTGGCACGCGAATACAATACGCGAATGCACTATCACACCACCACATCTCACGGCCAAACACACACGGCATATCACCAATCCACATTCAAACACACATTCAGGCTCAATTCCCGCCACAAGGGCAGCAACCATTCAACCTCGACACCCCCACCATTCCGCTCATAAAAACGAACATCCAAAGAATCGGGGTAAAATTGGGCAGTTTATACAGTAACCGAAATCCCATCAAAATAAATAGTAAACGAACTCCAAAAATTCTCAATTTTGGATATGTCACAAAACACATCCCGATAAACATTTCTTATGAAGAACACGAAATCCGGTTCAAACTACAACCATGCCTTTTTGTCCCTTGAAATCAGACCAAAATCAGTTTGCTCCAACAGAATATTTTGTCCTCAAAATACATTTATTTCAACACCCAAATCACCTTGAAAAGCTTTGAAATTTTTATATGTTATATCCACGAATGTCCCCAACAACTTTTGTGAAGGAAGTATTTTGAAAATATGCCTGGAAAAATTTATAAAAATTCGAACAGACCCGAAGGTCGGATGAACAGTAAATCGGGCAGTTTTATTTCGGTCCAAAGATGGACTTCCGAATGGCATCAAATGATTTCCAAAAATTTCCAAATTAATATATGTTATACTTCAAAATGTTGGAAACAACTTTCATGAAGAAAACTTCCTCAAATTCGGCCCACAAAATTTTCTACAAAAATAGCAAACCGAGCGGGTACAGTAACCGTGAATCTGCGATTCACCCCGAACCTCACGGATTCAAACCCGAACCGATTTCTACCGAATTCCAACCGCTTAAACTCATTTCCCGACGTCTAATCCAACCCGCAACAACCGCTAATAGTCATGATCAGCCACCAATAACCACGATCAACCACCAAAAACCATTATCGACACCTTAATCAACCTCTAAATCCTCTAAACCATACCCGACGAGTCCGAAAATACCCGACGTCCTAAATAGGGATTAGATCGCGACTTACCCGAACTCTAGACTAACTCGGCTAGAACGGCAAGGGGGAACGGCTGGCCGGCGGCGATCGGCGGTGGCGGCTTGCTCTGGCGATGCTCCGGCGATGATCGGCGGTCCAAGGCCGAGAGAGAGATGAGAGGATTTTTGGTGAGGGAGAGAGGGAGAGAGTTCTCTGTTGGGGAGGGGGGGCTGCCGAGAGAAGAGAGGGAATGAGGAGAGAGAGAGGAGAGAAACAATTAAATATTTGGTCCAAGGTTTGACCAATTTTTTTCTTAATTCCAATTTTGCCCCTAAAACACTTGGTCCACATTCTTCCAAACCAAAATATCTAAGGGCGTTTTCGTCCAATATTTTGGGGCTGATATTTATCCACACTTAATCCCCAAATTCAATTTCCAAAATCCCCAAAATTCGGAATACCCAAAAATAGGCCTAGGGGCAAAATCGTAATTTTCCGGTCCCGAGGCGAAATTCCAATTTTCGCACATACGTGTTCCATATGTGCGTGGCCAACATAATATGGCGTCAGAATCGCGAAATTCACTTTCTAAGTCCTCGAAAATCGACTGCGAAGTTCCGGGAATAAAATAATATTATTTTTCTAATTTTTGTCGAAATTCTAATTTTTGGCCGTAACCACTCCAAATATGCGTGGCCACTCTAAAATGACCTTGGCCTCGAAAAATAACCTCAAACGACCTCAAAATCCAACATCGGTGTCCACAGGGGCAAAACCGTAATTTTTCCGGCCCCGGACCGAAATTTATTTTTTTGCAGAAATGGGTGGCCCCAAGGTTGGCCAAGCCGAAAATGTCATCGGCCGCTCAAAATTGTCACTTTCAAAATTCTCGATTCCCGGGCCCGAATTCCAAGAAATGACTAAAATTGACCAATCGCGACTTTAGCTTATCTCTTGCTAACGGGTGGCTCATTAGGATTACGCGCTCTCGACCCGTGACCGACACTAAGTCAAATCACGTTTAAGTTTGCTCGAACCAAGGCGACCTCGATCGTCATATAATTGCGAGGGTCTGTCACTAGTGCCCTTCGGACACGATCAATCAAATAGATCGGTCTCGGTTGGCTCAAAACATTCCCTCGTCAATCCATATAGTCAAAGATCGAACCCAGGTCGAGTTCTTTGGTCATGCGAACTCAATCCCGTAATAGCCCTACCCCTAAGGTTAGCATCCCGAGAATGCGCGGTTCCCGGGTGAGATCTCACTATAGCGCATTGGTCAAATTCATTTCCTAAATCCCGGGAAAAAGGATCGAAAATTCAGACTGTTACATCAGTTCTTGCCCTAATCTAGCAATTTATTTATTTCTTTGGTTTATTGAGTATTAAATCATTGATTACATACCTGCATGATCACTCTTGCATGTTAGTGGCTTAGGATTAAAATCATCAAGATCGCTTAAAAAATATTTTTTGAAAATAAAGATAGAAGGTACCGAAAGGGCATTAAATTAATTAGCACCATCAAATCCACGAATCCATTAAATCTCTAGTTTATAAAAGTAAAGTATTCTTCCATACTTTATTTGAGTGTCTAATTGACTCTAATTAATTCGTGTGGTAAGAAAATTGCATGTTAAATCGAGTACCAAGTTGCGATTGGTAGGGTTTGGGAGAGCCCATGCTAAACACAAGCGACTACCTCGTGAGAGGAACTTTCGTTCCTATTTAGTAGTCCATTAACTTTCCCTTTGGTGGTACAACTCCATGACAGTGTTGAAGCTTCACAACGCCTCCATGGTTTTTTGTTCAAGTCAAAAGTCCACAAAAGCAACAAAAAAGTCAAAACACCTATTCCGTAGCTCTGTGGCTCATGTTGATGTTTCACGAAAGTGGCGAAAGAGTCAAAGTGTTATAATTTTCGGAATGGCAAAAGTAAATAATCATGTTTTCTCTCTTTTACTAGATTTGGTGTTCGCTGGCTGATCTACCCCATCAATATTGTTGTAGCCCGTTTACATTTCTTGTTATAGTCGAACCTATGACTCTAGAATTAGGGGTGTGCAAAATGGACAGTCCAAACTAGGAACCGCTTGGACCAGGCCGGACCGGACCGGACCGGACCGACCGGTTTGGTCCGATTCCCGAGAGTGTCAATCCGGTTCCCAATTCCTAAAAGTGAAACCAATGTCTGGGCGGTCCAATGTACCATGTTCCAAGGAGAGCTAGATCGAACCAAACTAACTATATATACTTTTTTTTTGTGATTATATGTAGTCGATATGGGGAGTACAATTCCAAATTTAGAACATATGTATAGTTGGCATAGGGAACACAATTCGTCATCGCATTGGCTCGAATTGCACGCTTGTTTTTGTGATTATGTGTAGTCGGCATGGGAACACAATTCTAATTTCAAAATACATGGTAACAAGTAGTGGGAAAAAAAAAGTGGCCGGTTACATTGAACCGAACTAGAACCGGTGGTCCGGTCTAGTTCTCGATCTTAGACCAATCGGTCCGGTCCCCGGTTCCCAATTTTGGTAATTGGTTCTCCCGATCCAGTTTTCAATTCCACCTTGAAACCGAACCGGACCGGTGAAACCAAAAACTGGACCGGGAACCGATCACCCCTATCTAGAATAGTGCGATGAGCCCCATTTTTGTTTAAGATGTAGATCATACAATAATTATAAATTGATTTATGGAGGTTATCTTCATTTGTCTATTTGTGAATTCTTTAGCAATAAATCATGAGAAATTCTTACCATATTCGTTTCTGCATTTTTAGGATATAGTAAAATCAGTATCCAATCTTATCCTGGCTAAAAATCCAGATAACCAAATGCAGCCTAAACTAGAAAAAATTAAACTAGGAAACGTTAAACTAGGAAATGTATATGTGGAAAACATTAAACTACGAAACACTAAATTAGAAAATGATCCATGAAAGAAAAATCAAAAGCATATACCTTTTCGTCGGTTTCTCGTTATTGGGGCGTAGGAGTTATTCCCTTAATGAATTGATAGATAACCTTCCTTTATGGGCCGATGTTTCCTTGTTCTCCTCTGCGAACAACAAAGAACCAACTTTATATGCATTTTCCATCCGACCAAAAGTCCCTCCCACTTTTTCAGAGGAAGATCGCTGTCGACCCACACACGCAGCACCATCATCGTTTCCCTCCCATTCACATTCCGATGGGTCGTCGCGAATGCCTTCTCTTGCTCGTGCTTTCGGCGACGCTCTTCAGTTTCAGTTTCGGTGCCTCTTGCTCCAATGGACAATGCAAGGTTCGTGTGTCTCTGTCAGATTGTACTTCGGTTTTCGGGCACGAGTCTGGGGAAATTTCTGATTTTGTTCTTTCGTGTGGTCTTTCGTGAATGAAGCTACTTGATAAATGCTCGAGGGATAGCGACTGTGAGGCCGGTCTCTATTGTTTTTCTTGTCTTGAAGGCCTTTCAGATCCCATATGTGTAAGATCAACCGCGACTGACCAGTTCAAGCTCTTGGTATCTCTCTCTCTCTGTAATTTCATTTTTGCCTTGAAGTCCAAATTTTGTTTTTCCTTTCTGATTGTCGAAATCGACCTGCTCAGTGATATAAGAAGTTCAGATTTTATGGAGTGGAGTTGATAAATTTGCCATTTTCTCTAGGTTAATACCACGAAAAACTCTAAATCAAATCAGGACACATGTGACAAACTAATCCAAAACTAATTTTTTAACCATTAAAAACCCAAAATTGTACACTTGCGACAAATTTACCCAAACTAATTTTTGGACCAGGAAAAATCCCAAACTTGTATATTTGTGACTAATTCACCCTCTATAAAACTATATTAATACCACGAAAAATCACAAACTATTACATTTGTTACAAACGGAGGTAAAACCCCGAACTTATACACTTGTCAATTGGCACGTGTCATCCAACTTAGTAATTTGACAATAAAATTTAATAAAAACTAACGGATATTAAATTTGTCAATGGTTTACCAGTTTAGGATTTTTTATGGTCAAAAAATTACTTTGAGCTAAATTTGTCACAAATATACCAATTTGGGATTTTTCATGGTATTAACCCTTGCTCTTATTATTGGCTAAATAAAAGTTGGAGTAGAGCAGCTGAAGTATTGACAAACATGGCGTTAGGTTGGATGTGTTACCAATAAAGTCGCTATCATTTGCCCAAATATAAAAGAAAAAGAAAGAATAAGAAGGCAAATTCATTGTTCTTATTACATGATCAGCCTAATCTCAACTGCCCATGAGCATTCATCTCTTGTGTGAAGAAAAATCTAAATTTTACATAGTTCATGCCACTAAGAAATTTGCATATAAATAGTCTTTTTCCAATTAAAACGCCGGTCGACTATAGTATGCCAATTTGTTGTCGTTTCAAATGTATTCTGGTTGCGTGCGGAAATTCATAAATGTAACGATTTAACATTCGGGCTATGTAATTTGTGTTAAGTACTTTTTTGTTTGGTCAGATTTGTGTTAAGTACTTTTTTTTCGCAAGATTTGTGTTAAGTACTTGACTCGGTAAAGAATGATGGCACTTCAAATACAGTAGATGCAATACACATTTTCTAAAAGCTTGAATTACAGGCCAGAAATTTTTCTAGCATGAGAATGTTCTTTTCATTGTATTTTTTTTTTCGGGTTTTGGCAGGTACATTAGAAGGCTTGATTGGTGTTAGAGATAATTAGGCCTTGTTTTAGGATAATTTCCTTTGTTAGAAATATTTTGATAATTCTATTAATTATCCGTATCTCTCAAAATTGCACGTATATTCCACGTATATCTTCCTTTGGTTATGCGTATCTTGAATAAGATATTATTTAAGAATAGCTATCTAATAAAGCTCTAATGTATTTTTCATTAATATATATATCGAAATCTACAGAAATTCCACAATTCGCCCTTCCACTTTATCATTATTAACTACTGGTATAGCATCTTGAACAGTGATTTGATCTGCTTCATTTAACTTCTTTATCAGAACAATTCTCTTCCCTTCAACAAATATGCATTCTTGACGACCCACAATGCGTATGCGATCGAAGGAGAGCCACGCCACACGCCTGTACCAAGAGTTACGTTTACAAATCAAGAGGATACCGTCACTCAGCAGCTAAATGTACGATTCCCTGTAAACCCGATTGCTTTTTAGCTTTTCCTTATCTTCATTTTCATGATGTTATAGGAATATGATCTCAATTTTTATGTCGCCAATGGCATCTTTCCGTTTCCAGAATGGAGTTCGAGGGCTGATGCTAGATACATATGATTTTGAAGGAGATGTATGGTTGTGCCATTCTTTCAAAGGTCATTGTCATGACTACACAGCATTTGTAAGTACTGTGTCCTTAAACTGACAGTGTTTATGTCCACCCCGGTGCTTTATGATTTTTCTCTTCTCGTTGAAAATTTGTCTTCTCTTCCTTCACCTTATCTTCTTGGGGCACCTTGAATGCTGAGGATCCTTGTTTGCCATGCAGGAACCTGCTATAGACACTCTCAAGGAAGTCGAAGCTTTTCTATCTGCAAACCCGGCGGAGATAGTCACTTTGATACTCGAGGACTACGTTCAGGCACCAAATGGATTGACAAAGGTCTTTACTGATGCTGGCTTGATGAAATACTGGTTTCCGGTATCAAACATGCCAAAGAACGGTCAGGATTGGCCGCGAGTAAGTGACATGGTGGCTAATAACCAGCGGCTGCTCGTGTTTACCTCCATCCAATCAAAGGAACAGAGTGAAGGGATCGCTTATCAGTGGAATTACATGGTTGAGAATCAATGTATGTGCATAGTCAAGTTCACCTAGAGAGAATTTTCTAGACTATTTGGCCCATATTTTTTCAAACACATTATTCGTTGTTGACATGTTGTGTCCATGTATGTGTATGGCACGTTAATTAATTAGTAATTTGCAGATGGCAATGGTGGATTGAAAGCAGGAAGCTGTCCAAACAGAGCTGAATCGCCTCCTCTTAATGACAGGAGCAAGTCCTTGATTTTGGTGAATTACTTCCGGACTGTGCCCATCTACCTACTCAGTTGCGAGAACAACTCAACCGACCTTATTAACATGCTTCAGACTTGTTATGGCACGGCCGGCAACAGATGGGCTAATTTTGTCGCTGTCGATTATTATAAGGAACAAGTTCTTCTATCTTCTCAATGCTTATCTCTGTCCATAGGACCTTCTGAAATTTAAAAAAGCTATCAGGGATATCATCTTTTCCTCGTATTTACTACTTGAAACACTCCAAAAAATATGTACCTTTGGCTCATGCTCTTGTTTGGGCTAGATAATCGGAGACACACCTAGAAGTCGATTATAGTAATATTAATTTTGTCCGACCAATTTTCTCGATGGATTTAGACCTGCATTTTTTGGAATGAAAAAGCCATGGAAAAGGATTGACACCGGAAGCTCTATGCTTTTATGCAGAGGAGCGAGGGAGGAGGATCATTTCAAGCAGTAGACACTCTCAACGGGGAGCTGCTATGTGGATGTAACGATGTGCACGCGTGCGTGGTAAGGTAAACTTGAGGTGCTCATTTATTTCTCTGAAGCAAAAAGAATGTTCTCTTCTCAATGTTGGCATAATAGAACGGATGTCCCAACCATTTCGATTGCTTTGATAGTAAGGGGAACCAAGCCCGTGTCATAGCCTAATCTATATTGGACATGCTTTTCTCTCTCAATTATGAAGTTAAACCCATGAGGTTCATTAGTAGTTGGAAGAACATTCACAGACAATTGTATGCTTCTTTTCTGGAAATTTTGCTGACGCGATTGGTACTTTCGTTTTGCAGCCGGGTTCAACTTCTGGGGCATGCACTCCATAGAAAACAGCAATATCCTGAATAGAACTAAGGAAAATACAACAACTGCTGCAACTCGGAATAGAAAAATGCACACTGCAATTCATGCCGAGTCTCCGACAACTAAGGAAACCAAATCGGTTGTTGCTGCATTTTTTTTTTTTTATGTAAGACTACAGTGACTCAGTCAAAATAGTGGATACCTACCAATCAAGACAATGTATCTTTTAGGCAGCGATACAGACGGAAAAGAAAGCTCAATAAGGTAACACATCTTTCTGTTTGTCATGCCCTGCAGGCCTGCATATTGAGTTTGTGCTTACTTACGGTACTCAACTGCTCGTTTCCTCTCTCGGGTACACATGGAGCACAAAAACAGATTATGCCGCGATCGATACAATCGATCACATAAGCGTAATCGGAGTTCCGTTGCTTCTTGATATGATAAGGATCTACCCTAGTAGAAGGAGTTCTTCGTAAAACGAGGGTCTCAACGCTAGGCATAGTAAGACAGGCTTACAAATTCCGTATACTAAATCTTGTGGCATACTAGAATTGGCTAATTAAGTAAGTGGGCATATTCAACAGCCAATGACAATCTGCCATATCATTTACTATGATCAATTTTAGCAAATTTAGCATTTCTCCTCACTAATTCTCACTTAGGGTTCGTTTGTTTCAATAAAAACCATTTTCAGGAAATTGTTTTCTGACTTTCCGGTAATTTGATGATGGAAAACTAAAAGATCTATATAAAACGTTTTCTATGGACCGAAAACAACAAGCTTAGATTGGGGAAAAATGACTTTCTCTTCCAGTAAAAAGTAAATCACTTTCTCTAAACCACCAAATAAATAAAAACTAACATTTCCATTGAAAATGATTATCATCGAATATATTTTCTTTTATCATGAAATTTTTAATGAAACAAACACGCACTAATATCCGTTGAGTTAGTCTGAAACGAATAGATTGCGATGTTGGAACTTAAAACCTCATGGTTGTGGTTGGAGAAGGCCCAAGGGTTTTTGGTGGGCTATTTGGGCCAAGAAATTTTTCTAGTTTAGGAACTCTCTCTTGATGGTAACTGGAAACTAGTTAAGCTTAAGTCATTCCTCATTCTTTCACGTAACCCTCCCAAAAACAACGATTTGATTCTTAATAAACACGAGTGACCTGCTCACCGTCGGATTAACCTTTTTCCTTACCACTGAATCGATCCCATTTACTCCTAATGAAAGTGAGAGCTCACCAAATTCATGCACGCACAAGCAGAAAGGGCTAACTCAGGTAATGTTACGTCGTAATGTTGGTCAGGTTGCGGCAATGTTCGTCATCGACAAACGGGTGCTTAACGAGATTTTTTTTTTTTTTTAATCTCGTATGATACGTTATTTGAAATTCCGTGTAAGAATTTCTGTCTCTCTCTTTCGAATTAAACGACAAGGACATTGTTAAGAAAAAGATGGCTTAGTAATGTAATGAGTCATGAATGAGTCATGCACCGGTCGACAGGACATTGAGAGTTTGCTAAATTTCTTAGTTGGCTGTCCTCAAAGTAAACTGATGAATACGTAACCGGGGTTGGTGAACGAACCTTATCGGAAAATGATATGGACATCGAAATTCACGTGGCTAGTAAATGGTGTCCTGAAGGACATTTTTTCCTAGACAAAAGTTTAAGAAAACGAGAAATTGGGCAACTCAGTCAAAATCCTGCTAATAGGTCAAAGCAATGACGGGAGGGCAATGGAAAATGTTGCTTGACTGAACTTTTTTGACAGAATGATACTCAAAATAGAGATATATCCCTAGTCTCACGGCCATGTGATCCGGTCAGCCAATAGGGAGATAGATTAGGAGGTATCTTTCATTACATATGCTGAAGCATGTAGCTTTCAAAGTCTATCTAGGGCTAGATATGATATAAAGAGTCAAGACATAGGGTTCCCCAATCAATGAAGCATTACAATATTGTGTGGGGTCATTTACATTCTTTACGACTTTCGAGAAATTCACTCCGTGTGGTTTTCGAAAATTGGGGGAATGAATCTTTATTATAGGATGATTCAGTTGTGCATATAGTCAACAACCTAGAGAAATACGACACATTTGAGTCTAACTGTGCAATCGGGTCGATACCCTGCCGAACTCAAGCTCGACTCATGTCACATGCTCCATGCTCGAAAGTCTAGTCAAGCTCAATGAAGTATTAATTTTCCTGCTTAAGGTCTACACGATTAGAAAATTGAGATGCTCGATCTCGACTCAACTCGATTACAATAACTAAATCTAAGGCTCAAGATTTATAAGCTCAAATTATATATAAGTACTTGGGGTTTTCTTTATATTTGTTAAATATATCTTTAAAACTAATGAAAGTTCGATTAGGTTCAACTAAGCTCGTGAGCCTATTGAGTTTAGTATTGGTAGGCTTGAGGACTAGACAAGATACTCGAATAGCTCCACTCAAAATTAAGTGAGCCGATCTTAAATAGTCATCGGGCCTAACCTGAGCTTTGTTGTTGAGCCAAACCCGAGCATTGGTTCAGTAAACTACTTTTTGGCCTGTTGAGAGCTTTGCAAATACGCCAGAGTCCAGAGTTGGGTCGAAGGCTTCGTGCCTGAACAGAAACTGGTCTCTCTCTCTCTCCGTTAATTGCGATTCTGTCTGAATCTCTCTCTTCATTGACTTATTAGGGAAAACTGCTGCGATACTTCAACTCGAAACAGAGTTCAAAGAACTTGGTTCTATGATTAAGCATATGTCAGCAGGTCAAATAAGGTGGTTGCAATGCAACCTGTCTCTGGCTCTGCTCTGCCTCTAGATGCCTTCATGTGAGGAACAAGACTCAAGTATTCATGTATGATCCTCTGCATGTAGCTCATTGCCTCATATAATATTCCTCTGATGCGTCTTCTGTGCATTAATATAACAGGCTAAAGAAGTTTTGGAGTGACCAAGAACAATGAAGTAAAATGCATAGGAGATTGGATAGACAAGAGTAATGTTAGGTAGACCTTGAGTTCTGTATATTGCTCGAAACAAGTGTGGCTCATGTGGCATAAAATTAGGGTTTCACTTGGGTAAGGTGTGGCCATTTCTTACATTTTCCAGATGTAAGCCCGAATTTTGTTTAGGCGGATATACGTTTATTGGATACTTCAACTTCTTGTCTTTATTAAGGTTGATATGATTTCAAGTAGTCTGAATTTATAAAGAGCCCCACTCTAGCTTAAACTTGAAAAGATCTATCGAGTTGCACGAAAATCTAAAGAACCGTTAGGTAATCAAAATTTATGAAAGCAGTAAATCTCAACAGCATGATACCAACTTTTATTTTCCACACCCATTTTGTAGTAAACAAAGCCTGATCTTTTTTTTTTTTTAATTTAGTTCATTACTTCAATGTCCCCACTACACAAAAGATCCTAATTCCATCTCGCCCTACATTTTTAAAGAATCTCGTGATGTAGTCTGTCCATCAACAAGGTTTACAAATTTTATGTAAATAAAGTCGACATATATAGAAGAACACATGAATCTATTCATATGAGATTTGGTCCCCACGAAATGGGACGGACGAAGTGATGGACACATATCAACTTTTTGGCTACCTTGGCTGCTGCCCGATATCTCATAATCTCCATTTCAATTTCTGTGTGTCAGAAAGAAAAGTCGGGTGATCTTAAATCCACAAGATGAAAAGGGCAAAACAAGAGATTCATTGCACATCACATCCGTGGTCGTGATCATCTTGTGATCATCGCTTTATATAACACCTGTTTCGTTGTCGTACCCGAGGACGATCGTGATGCCCCCACGAGGGGGTAACATGCGATTTGGCTTTGTTTCCTTTGTTGTTTCGCTGTCAAAGATCGGAAGCCCCCACCCCCACGAGCCGATTGTTGTTGGCCCTAGCATGCAACCCCTATCTCACATTGATTTTCGTACCCCTTGCTAATCAAGAAGAGAAGGGCTTAATCTAATAACAATGGTTTAAGCAAATATCAATTATAATACTGGGATTTGAATGCTGCCCCTTTGACCCCAAAACAAAAGATGCTTCTCTCCCCCCCTAAACCAAAAAATCAAAAAATCAAAAATCAAAAGGTTTTGACATCGAATCCTATGGAGAAAGACATTGATTGACATGCATTTTCTTAAGTATGATTGATTGCAGGGATAAGTACATAAGCAGTTCATAATATTGTGCTCATTAGTCAATTGAGTTCTTAACATATTACTCTAGTCATTTAAGTCCTTAACGTTTTGAACAAATTTGCAACATTGTCCTAAGCTCGCCATTGGTGGGTTTCTGTGGCTTCCACATTGCCTTTTTTAAATGCTGGGTAGCCGTGTAGCTAAGAGCCTTGTAGGATTTCTAATGCTGAAATTCCATCGACGGCGAGCTCATGACTTGATTGCACATTTTTTATTGAAATGGTATTTACGAAAAATCAATAGAAATATCCATCTTTCAAAATTTTAATTGATCCTTACAAAATTCAAGATTTTAGAAAAGTATACTTTATTATAAATATATGTATATTTGCTCTTATCAATGGCAAATTGACGAGATATATCTCTAATTAGCATTTAGTTATATTAACCTGCCATTATGTGTTATTAAAACCTATGAATAAAATCTATGTTTGATATTTGTTAAGTATCAATATTGAATTATTGATCTCATAAATGTGATTAAATTTCCATATAATTTTACATCTATATCCTCACGAAGTAATACAAATTTGGACTTTTATAACGTTCACAATACTGGTTTAAAGTAGGGTTAATACCACGAAAAACCTCAAACCGATATACCTGTAGCAAATTTACCCCAAACTAGTTTTTTAACCATCAAAAACTCCCAACTAGTACATTTGTGATAATTTACCCTCCATTAATTGGATTAATACCATGAAAAACACAAACCGGTACACATGTGACAAATGGAGGGTAAAACCCCGAATTGGTACACTCGTCAACTATCATGTGCCATCCAACTCAGAAATTTAACAGTAAAATTTAATGGAAACTAAAAGAGAGTAATTGTCATAAGTGTACCAGTTTGAGGTTTTTGGTGGTCAAAAAATTAGTTTGGGGCAATTGTCACAAGTATACCAGTTGTTGACACCTAAATTTCGGCGCATCATTTAGTGATTAATTGCATAGAAAATTAGGGATTAAATTTTAATCCCTGAACAAAAATATTACAAATCGCATAGCATAAAGTTTAAGTTCATATAGATTAACTGCATTTCGCATCGGATCGGCGATGGTAAGCGAGCTT